TCAGGAGAAGAGAGATGGGTAACCCTTCTCTGTTCTTTTTAAATTATTAATATTTTTTATAATCATGAAATATTTCAAGCATATAGAAATATTTAAAAATGCAGAAAAATGTAAAATAAAAATGCATAGTTACCCAATATCCAGAGTTAATAAATCTTAACATTTTACATATTTGCTTCAGATTTTTTAAAAAAGAACAAAAATTCCACAGGTATAATCGAATTCCCTTTTGGGTCCTCTCTAAGTCCCGTTTTCTCCCTGCCTCCCCAGATACAACCACTATCCTGAAATTGTATGTATTCTGTTGGTAGGCTATGCCACGGTAACAAACCCCCAAATCTCAGTGACTTAATACAATAAAAGTTTATTTTTCACTATGTGAAGGTCTTCCTGCATCATGTGACTATGCCTTCTAGACTATGCGGCTTCCAAGTCGATAGGACAGGGGAAGAGATGGAGGAAACGTACTGGATCTTAACTGACTCAATCTGGTAGTGACACACATTATTTCCACTCACAGTCCATTGGCCAGAAGTACTCTTATGGCCTTATTGCAAGGGTGTAAGGGAATGCAGGGGAGTATGTGGATAATTGGTGAGCACTATGCCTCTGCCATACTCTCTACTAATGTTTTAATACTTGTATTTTTTGTGATATATGTACATGTTCACAAGCAATATATGCTATTATTATATATTTTATAATGTTTTATAGAAATGATATCAAGCTATACATTCTCTTTCTCCAATTTGCCTTTTTCTTCTCTGGATTATTTATATTGATCCGTAAGGACCTTTTCTTTAAGTGCTATACACTTGGATCTTAGGATTATATCGTGACTTATTTATCCTATGCTCTGTTGATGAACGTTTTAGCTTGTTTCTATTTTTCTAGATCGTATAACTAGATGTGGCACAGAAAGACCGTAGGATATGTGCATCTTCAATTAATTGTTCTAATTTATGCCATACCAGCAGTATATGCAAATTTCTCTGCTTTTTTCTTTATAATTTTGCCTGCTCTATAAAGAAGTAAAACTAGCATAGCAGGCCTAATTGGGGAAGGCCCTAGGGAGAGGGGTGATAGCCTGAGAAAGTTCAGGCCCAGCATCAAGGTGACTTGTTAACTACCCACACTGACTCACATACCCTATGTTTTTGTCTCACAGGTGCCTTCCAGTTGAGCTTAGTGAAGGCAGATGTACCCACAGTGCCCCCTCAGGAGGCCACACTTGTTGCACTGGTGAGCAGTCTGCTAGTGGTGTTTACCCTGGCCTTCCTGGGGCTCCTCTTCCTCTACTGCAAGCAGTTCTTCAGCAGACATTGCCAGCGTGGTAAGGGTGGCTGCTTCACGTTTCACATGAATCAAGAACAGACTCTTATTGGAAGAAGAGAAGATTGTCTGGGGTTGAGAGTTAGTGGGCCTTTCCTACCATGCTGGAAAACCTCAAGGGTCATCTTCTATTGGCCAGGGGAACTCTCAGGGATAGCAATAGAAAGCATGGGACTTCAGAGATGACTAAGGCAAACGCTAAGTGTTTAGGGGACCTTGTTCATTAGGTTTTAGTGGTTCGTGCAGGAGCACAGCATAGTGGGAAATCCCTTGGGAAAGGAATCTTGAGACCTAGGTTCTAAATCTACCTCTAAATCACAGTGTAACCTTAAACAAGTCATCTAGCCTCTTTGGGCCTCTTTCTTCCCAATCTTTAAAAGGACAGGTAGGATTGGATTAGTTGGTTTTTAAGTTCTTTTCCAATTCTTCATATCTATACTAGTAGGTATAGATTATGGGGCATGTCAGGAATGGAGGAAGGCCTGGCTATATCTGAGACATGACTATAATAAAACTGAGTGAGGTCTAGGGCAAATTCTGTCAGTATAATAATTTCCCGAATGGGAGTAACCAAAAGCCCAGTGTCCAGAGTAGTTGGCAACCTAGACTTTTTTACCCAGGCAGTATTGATGCCTAAAGAGATCTGACACAGCCCATACCAGATGGCCATGTAAAATTCCAGGTGATAGGTCATATTTAAAGTCATAATAACATTGTTGTATATATGTAGCATAACTTCAGCTATTAGACAAGAATGTGGGGCAGGAAGTCCAGCTCACTGAGAGCAAAGATTGAGGAGGTAGGATGGTGGCTGGTCAGGACCAGACAAGGAGTAAGAACACCAGCCAAGAATACTGGGGTTCAGTGCAGTTTCAGTGCCATTAAGGAAACTGAGAGCTAGGCAGGGACACCAAAAAAGGAACTCAGACTAGTGAATGGAATTGACTTAGTAAGGAGGAGGATAAAGTTTACTAGATACAAGGCTGCTCAGGGCATCTCATGAGCCCACTGGATACTGAGTCCAAAGCAACTCTGTCTATGTGGGAATTTTTCTCTTATATGGACTTGCCTTGGTCAGTTTGTCTCTGGGGTCTGCCACGTGATCTTGAAAAAGCCTATCAGGCATATTTGGCTGTGCCCCTGGCTTAAGCGAAGATAAATCAAGCATTTTATGGGCAGCAGGATACAAAGGGAACACTGTTGTCCCTTTATGACCCTTCTAAGACTCTCCTTCTCTCTCCTACCTTTTGGTGGCTCCTGGGACACTGGGACATTGTAGCTCACAGTGGGCTATCCTGTCTCTGACTTTGGAGGCTAGTGTCAGATAAGAACTGTTGCCCAGTCCCTGGGCATGGGCATGAAACATGGGCAATGAGTCATTTGGGCCTCAGTGCCCAGCAAGATGAAGATGAAGGAACATCTGAGAGCTGCCTGTCTCTCTCCTCCTCCCTCAGGAGAAGAGAGATGGGTAACCCTTCTCTGTTCCTCATCTATCCTCAAGATAATAATGTGGTACCCTTCTCAGAATATGAGGGCGTGCACCTTCCTCATGGCCTTCATAGGGGGAAAGAGGGCTAGGTATTTCCTCATTTGGGGAAGGTGTTTATCAAGAATCACTGACTTACACATACTCGAGCTATGTAGGTAAGATTAATGTGTGAATTAGATCCAATGTAAGGTGCAAGAGAGAGGAGTAGGGACTGTGGAAAACTAGAGAGCACATCTCCTAACTAAAGAGGAATTCACCACTCAGCTCCAGCTCTTTGTTACCATGTGGGAATATTCAGTGTTGCAAAATCCAAATTTCCAAGAGAATCCAGAAATCTGGATTTTTGTATGAAATCGTGTTAAACATTGGAAATTAATTTGAATAAAGAACAAAATCACACCATACCACAGTGGGGAGACCAAACAAACACATATCACATAGGCTCTCAGTTTGTAACCTGATACTGAACCAGACTCAAGCATGAAGGGTGTATTACTGTTCTATCATTGGCATAATAAATTACCACACATTTAATAGCTTATTATCTCACAGTTTCCATAGCTCAGAAGTTCAGCAGGTTCAGCTGGGTCTCTACTTAGAGTCTCACGAGGCTAAGACCAAGATGTTGGCAGGGCTGTATTGTTTTTTGGAGGCTCCCTCCTTTCTGGAGGGGAGAATCTGTTTCTTTGATCATTCCGGAAGATGGCAGAATTCAGTTCCATGCGGTTATAGGACTTAGGTCACATTTCCTTGCTGTGAGCTGAAGGCCATTCCCACCTTCTAGATGCTATTCACATTCTTTGGCTCATGGCCCCCTTCTATTTTCAAAACTAGCAGTGGAGGGTTGAATTTTTCTCATGCTACATCTCTCTGATACTCTGTCTTTGTCTCTTCTGACTTCCTTTTCTGCTTTTAAGGACACACGAGTACATTGGACCCATCTGGATAATCCAGGATAATCTCCCTATTTTAAGATCCATCATGTTAATTCCTCCTGAAAAGTCCCTTTTGTCATATAACATAATATGCACAGACATAACACCAGGAAATGAAGATTGTAGCAGGGGAGGGGGGTCAAAATTCTGTTTCCCACAAAGGGTTTCTCTTTCTCTGGATATAACTATATTTCTCAACTGTGTCACCTCAGCCTGGTGCTAGGTGCTCTGGTCTTCAGGGAAGGGAAGGGGAGGACCATCTCCGAGATCCCTCCCTTATCTTGTGCTCAGGACCAGGTGCCCTGCTGAGAAGTGCCCCTACCTTTGGGTGACCCAGTGGCTTTCTGCTTCGAGTTGCAGGAGGTTCGCTGAAGTTTGAGGCTGATGAGGCAGCAGAGAAGGAATCTCTCTTCCCCATGCCACCTGGCCAGGAGACCAGCCCCAAGTCCACAGTGAGTGAGAGCACGTTTGAGACCCAGCCACTTAACCCCATCCTGGAGGACGACTGCAGCTCGACTCGTGGCTTCCCCACACAGGAGTCCTTTACCATGGCTTCCTGCGCCTCAGAGAGCCGCTCCCACTGGGTCCACAACCCCATTGAATGCACAGAGCTGGACCTGCAAAAGTTTTCCAGCTCTGCCTCCTATATGGGAGCTGAGACGTTGGGGGAAAACACAGCTGAAAGCTCTGGAGACAAGCTGGAGCTCAATGTGCCCTTTGAAGTTCCCCGCCCTTAACACTACTGAGGTGAGCTAGAAAGGTGGGGCAGAAAACACCAAAATTAGGGACTACCCTCAAAGAATTCCCCTCTGGAGTGCTATTGCTCGGTAGGGCTATGGATGGAGGAACAGCAGCAAGCTAGGAACACTGGTGGGTGAAGGGACAACAGTGCTGGTGTTAATCTTTTAAGCCAGTCAGACATCATACTTCTGGGCCTGCGATTTTCAGGGAACTGGCCAGGTTGCCATGACACCAGTCTCTACATTCTGGCCTATTGCAAGGTCTCTCAAATCCCCTTCATGTGCACAACCAGTGTAGCATAGTACAAAAAACATACAAGCCTGATCATCTGACAGCCCTGTATTTCAAATCGACTTTCATTCATTAATAGCTATATAAAGCTTGTATAAATCCCTTCACCTCTCTAAGCCTCAAATCATTCATCTGTAAAAAGAAAGTACTATACATCTCATAAGTTCTTATGAGAGTTGAATGAAAAATGCATGCACAAGTACCTTTTACAGTGTCTGATGCATTAGAGATGTTTAAACCATGTTAGTTTTTCATTCCCTCTCCTGCCCCAGTCACAGTTTACATATCCCTTCTACATCCACTACATTCATCTGATCTTCATAACACCCTTTGTGGTTAGCATATCAGGGTTTATTAGCCTCATTTTACAGAGGTAGGAAATGAGATGCAGAGAGGGAAACCAATTTGCTCAAAGTCACAAAGCAAATCAGTGACAGAACTGGGCTGGAAGCCGTGTTTGGGGGCTTCATTTTAGAGTTCATCCAACTCCACCTCTGCAACTATTCCCATAATCAATGTTATTTTCTCAAAGGTTTAAGTAGTGTGAGGCAGTATGAGGCAGTAGTGTGAGGAGATTCCTATTTTTCAAATAGCCAACTACCTTTCACTGCCCATTCACATATTTCTTCAGCTAATATATTTCCATGTTCCCCAGTGACTTTCCCCCTCCTACATCCTACCTAGAAAAATGTGAACAATGTACATTAGAAAGCCAAGACTGGTGTCAAATCAGTGTGCCTAGATACCTTCAAGTTTATCTAGTCCGTTCCCTACCCAAGGCCTTCAATCGATGCTTAGGTTCCTTTTATAATATCCTCACCATGTGTTTGTGTAGTCCTTGCCCACATACTTTCAGTGGCAGAGAGCTCACTGTTGCCCAATGTATATTATAACTATGACTGGTGGATTTGAGCTCAATATAAAGAAAAAACTTTCTGTCTTTCTGGGGGTCCTGGGTCTGTTCCTTGGGCCAGACAGACCTCATCTGCTTCCTCTGCCTTTTGATAGCCCTGCAGATGTTTAAAGAAAGCATCTTCCTTCTGAAAAACACCACTTTAGGTTCCTTTAAAATATGTGGAGATTAGAACTCAACCAAGTTTCATAAGGAATGGTTTTGCCAATGTAGAATAGGGTAGAATTGTCATCTCCCTAGCTAGGTGATGTATTTCTGGTATTGCATCCTAAACTATTGGCCTAACACATGATTGTGGGGTGTAGGGACAGGTGGGAGCTAGTGAGATTTCCCCACAGGTTTCTAACATGCTCTGCTCCCTCCCTAGGTCTCTTGTGCTCCTGGCAGCCTTGCCCAGTCGTTCTCTCCGGAGTCTCTTGCCTTGTTTCTATACCACAACAGCAGCAAGAGTATGGGATGTGGTGTCCAAACAGCCAGTACTCTACAGATGGGGTATATTCTATCCCATACCATCAGAGGATTGATTCTCCAGCATTTTCCCAGGACTGACTTGCAGCGTATCTCGCTTCCCTATTCTAGCTTGGAGAACCAGATTCCCTTGTCGTGGGAGTACCAGACATGTTCCTAGCTCAACTTCATTATAGAGAATAGGGGAGGAAATAACAATGAATGGGGTAGAGTTTTCCTGCCTGCATTTCTGGTCAGGTGAGCCTCTCAGGAATTCTATTGATACATATAACTAGCACTTTAAGGACAAAAATCAAATCCTTCTCCCCTTTTAGCTTCTTCACACTGCCTCCCTCTCAACACACACACAGACACACACGCACACATTTTGGAAGAAACCTGGTGCTATGATTCCCCAACTCATGTCTTAGGTTTCTGTGGCTGTGACAGCTCTGGAGCCAGCAAATTTGCTAGGATCTTCATCCCTACAAATAGGCTTCCACCCTTCTTTTGTGAGGATTCAAATCAATGTCTTTTTGATCTTTAAAATAGTCCTTCCTAAGGTTCCTTTCATTTTTATTTACCTTGTACTCTTGCCTCTTTTTTTTTCCTTCCTGGTTCCTGGTCTTCTAAAGCTCAAAAGTCAGCGTCTATATTCCCAGGACCAAATCAGAGCTGAGAGCTTTGGTCTTTGGGATGACAGTGAAGTTCCTGAGGTCTGGGAGGCAGAAGGGCACTGAGGACCCAAAGTTCCCTAGGGCAGCTCAGGGACCATTTGGTGCTTTCTTGGTTTAGAGAAAACCAATTAATCTCTCAAGCTCTCACTGCCAGTTTCACATGCTTCTCAGCATGAAATGGAACTGCTTTCCCTATGGCTTTCTGGTGGAACAGGGCAAATGAGACTCTTGGGGCTCAGGTGTGAGCATCATGAGTTGTTTTTAAGTCTCCCCGTATGTTCATAATGGGCCACTTGGGCTGATACCCACTCCCTCATGGTAGGTCAGGTTTGGAAGAGAAAACTGCTCAGATGAGTAAAGCAACTGGCTCCTTTGTTTGAAAGCAGCTTATGTAGTCCAGAATGTTGGGTGTGACTTAATTTGTAAAGACAAGACTGGAGATAGGGCACAGTTATCCTGGGTTAAGAATGCTGGAATCCACTACGTGTATGGGTGCTGTACTTTACATTTTGCAATGCGCTTTCACAGGCATCATTTCATTGGATTTTTAAGAGACCCTGATGTGGGCAAGGCAGGGATTATCATCCCCAGTTTGCAGATGAGGAACCTGAGACCCAGTGACAGTGATTGGCCTTAAATTACTCAGTGATGCAGGGGTGAATAGCAAAGCTAGGATGCCTTCAGGATCTCTTTAATATCTTGAAATCTTCATTTCTTGAAGATAGTGTTTTAGGGTAGGAGTATTTTGGTTTTCCTGACATATCTGTTCCAGAAAACAACTCGTTTTGGAATTAAAAGGGGCAGATAGATAGACAGAAAAGGCCGTATGCCTGCATGTGGATGAGGTAATGTCCTTACCCACCGTAGAGATCCCATCCTCTCCTCTTCCCTCATGTTCCTCCCTCTCCCTACTGCCAACTTGGTACTTTCTATGCCAGGTCTTACAGCAGTGAGAAGCTAAGAGACTTTCCATTCAGCACTGTCTCACAAGAGGTCAGAAAGTAAGAAGGGTTACAAGGCCAGACAGGACTCTTTCTTCCTGTCCATCTTATCTTTTTTCACTCCTTAGGTGTGAAAGAGGGGATAAAGGCTGGAGCCAGTAGGACTATCCATCCTACTTGCCCCACCTCCCTTTCTCCTTTGTGAAATTTAAGAGTCTCTGATCTTAGTTTGGGTGACTTGAGGGTTTACCTTTATTTAAATGTGGAGGGGGCAATTCTCCTCTCTTTAAAAGATTGTAAATTATTTGAGTGAAACTTTCAATAATAACACTTTGGTGCTTTACAGTTTAAAAAGGCTCATTCATACATTATACCTATTATAAAAATAAGGAAACTCAGGCCCATACAGTAGTGACTTACCCAAAGTAGTTCATATTTGAGAAAGACAGCCTGTCCCACACAACCACTCTGCCCAACTGTGGATCCCATGACTGAAGAGTAGAGGCCAGGGAAGGGCTTGTAGAGCAGAAATACTCTTGGCTATGGCAGAGGGAAAGGCAGGGGTAACAAAGGGCCTTCTTGAGTTATTTCTCTTCACTAGACACTGCCTAAATGATCTTTAAAAGATCAATAAGGAACATAGGGAAGAGATGAAGAGATTGGTTAAGACAGCCTATTCCCACCACTAGGAAAGGTAGCTGGCCCCATAGTCTATTTGAGTACTACTGAGGCAGCAGTGTAGTCTTCCATGAAAAAAATAACACATGATTTCATCTGAGTCTTAGTCCAACTGGGACAAGATGCAGGGTTTTGGGGGGATTTTTATTTATTTATGTTTTGCTTCTCTGTCCCTGTAGCTCTAACCCCCTACAGCCTATAAGGTTTCTTCTGCCTTCTTTCAGGTTCTCCTAGGCTCACTGCACTCCCTCGATCAGCTGGAAGGTCTTGTGCAAGTTTGAAGAGCAATGGTCCTAAGTTGCAGCATAGGGCAGACCAAGCAATTTCCCTTGGGATTTCCTAGGCCTTATCCTATGTTTGAGGTGATAAAACTCTCCACCCCCACAGGGAAAAGGGCTAAAGTTTGCCCTCTTGGAACCTTACGGAATATTTCTTTTTTTTTTTTTTCTCACGATGGGATTTTTATTTTTATTTATTTTTTTTTTTATTTCAGCAAATTTTGGGTGTACAGATGTTTAGGTTACGTGTGTTGCCCTTGGTTCCCCGCCCCCAAGTCCGTGTTTCAAATATGTCCATCCTTCGGGTAGTGCGCATTGCCCTCCTTGTGTATACAAATACCCCTCCACTCCTCCCTCCTCCCCCCTCCTCCCGCCGCCCTCCCCGTGGTACAGATGTTTAGGTTACGTGTGTTGCCCTTACGGAATATTTCTGAGCCAAAGTAACCTTCCCTCCAGGGCCTGGGATTCCCAAACTACCTCCCAACAGTCCCCCAAAGACATCCCCCAATCCATTTAGGAGTAGCTGAAAGTAGAAAGGAAAGGGGATCTTGCCAAATCTATTGACATGTCAGTTGGGTCCCAGCTCTTCCACCATCCCTTTCCCTTTGATTCTTTCTAAAGAGTCTTTTTGCCTTTAGCCCACACCTATACATCTCATGGCCGGAGAAAAACAAGCTCCTTACAGGCTGTATTCTTTATTATCTCAGGATCTTTCTGAAGCATGTACAGCTAGTTCCTGTCCCACAAGTACTTGGTGGTTAATTAAGTACA